TATGTAATGCGAAACAGGGCGCAAATTTGATGACAAAGTGCCGCGATGGACTTGGCAGAAGGACAGAAGGTGTCGAAAGGAGATTAGAAGGCTTTAGGAGTGAATAGGAGGGGCGGAGATAGAGATATTTGGGATACTGTGGAAAGAAGTGGTCGCGAAAGGATGGGGAGAGGTTGTATGAGGAAACAAATGATGCAGATGGACTCCTGGTGAGAATTCGCTTCCAATGATACCCAATATGTTGGGGATCGGTGCACAGGGAAGGCGGAGAGATGGCTCCAATTCGGTGAGTCTTGTGGGTTGTGTAGGTAGTCGCGCAAAAGGTGTAAATCTATGGTGTATGCTCGTAGGTGACCTTGAGGGTTGTACATCAGGCAAATAGCTTTTGAGACGACCTCTCATGTCTGCTACTTCCCTATGTGTAAGAATCGCAAGGGGGGGGACTCGAACCCACGACCCCAAGTAATGGAACAGGCGGGAATCAAACCTGCGACCCGTGCTCTAACCACTGAGCTACAGTCCCGATATCTCACAGGGGGTTTCATGGGGCTGTTAACCACATCCTAGTGGCCTAGACACCGCACTGGTGTCCCCCATTGATAGCCAGGTTAACCCCTAACCGGATTTAACTAGGACCGGGCTACTGGGTCCTTACACTATGCTTAGGTACGGTCTTTGCCGCCGGCTGTTTCGTTCCCCCAGGGTTCCTGTCTGGCTGCTCGCTGGCTGGCCAGAGCCTGTCCACTCTCGGTGGTCCCAACATACTCGCTTTTGGCAATGCGACATCCGCGCTTGACAAAGTAGGACCAGATCGACCATCTTTCCTCCCTTTATCTTTAACAATATGCTCAGTCCTCAGGCTTTGGCCAACATGACTAGGCAGTTCCTCGCCTCTCAACGTTTGCCTCTTCACCTTGGGCTCGTACTCAGGAGTCTGATAGTAATCGGATTTCGAATTGAATCTCTGTTCATCTTCGACCGCAAAACTCTCCTCACTGCCCCTGGTACTGATGTTCTCCGTCACTTGAAGGGGAGCCAGCGCTACACTCGCCACTCTGGCAGTCATGCGCTCGTTCTGTCCAGGTGTCATGACTGCATCGGTCAGACCTGTCACCATGTGCCTTATCGACTGCCACCAGTGTGTCGCTGCCGGTGCCACGGTCATTGGTGCCTGCCTGGGATGACTCTGATCCCTCGGCTTTGCAGACAGTACGTTACTAGTAGGTTTACTGTAGGTAGTATTGAAGCGTAAATCCCTTACTTCACTACCAGATGGTTCCTCTCCATCGAAGATAGGTCGCCTCACCTCAGGGCCTTGCTTGAATTGAGATTTGGGTGACCCAAGAGCCATCGAAGTGCGAATCCTAAACGGTTTCATTTCCAAGGAATCCATATCAACGCCTAATGACTGCCCATAGCCATAGTTCGATGTTCCTGGACTTAGCAAATAACATTGTACAGCATCCTACACTCTCTAGGCCTCCAGAGAGCTCCTCATCATCATCCTCCATCACCCCAGGTTAGACAATGGCTTGCCATTGTCTGACACCAGCCAAGCCTTTTGTCATCCAGGCACCTTGTGCAGACCCTCAGGAACACTTCTAGGCATCATAGGACCTCAATTAGCACCCTTCAAGAACCTCATTTGACAGGGAACCTGC